TAATAAGTGACTGTTACTGGTTTATATATTTTTTATACTAAACTTTTAAAAAATATTTATTTTTATTGATTTCCGAGAAGAAGGGAGAGGGATAGAGAGATAGAAACATCAATGATGAGGGAGAATCACTGATTGGCTGCCGCCTGCACGCCCCACACTGGGGCTTGAGCCTGCAACCTGGGCATGTGCTCTGACTGGGAATTGAACTGCGACCTCCTTATTCATAGGTCACCGCTCAACCACTGAGCCACACCGGCCGGGCTATACTAAACTTTTTATCATTAGAGTTCACTCTTCTACTTAGGAAAAGAGAGTCTGCTGTAAAACAGTATGCCATGTTCTACCTGCACAACCTCATACATCTCATGTTTACTGAATCTCTTGATGCCATCATTTTATCTTGGCTTGATGTAATCTCGTGTTGTTTTGTACAGTAACATGCTATACAGGTTTTGTAGCCTAAAAGCAATAGGCTATATCATCTAGGTTTGTGTACGTGCATCCAATGACGTTTGCACAACGATGAAATCTCTTGATGACACATTTCTCAGAATTATCTCTATGACTATTTTTAGACCAGGACATCTTCTGTTGGAGGAAGGAAATGGCAAGGGTTTTTGTTTTGTTTTGTTTTGTTTTTATCATGCATATTGCCTCTTCTTTCTATGGGGAATAGAGACAGCCCACATGATAGGTTATCTCATTGGTGTTGACCAGGAAATTCCAGACTGGGATTTAAGATTACATTTCTGGTAAAGGTTGAAACTGCAGTTAAGCCAGGTATTAAATCTAGGTTTGGTATCATGGCTCTGGCACAAGTGATGCCACTTTTGGGCTTGTGGTTTTTCCTTTAACAACAGTAATCAATATGCCAGTGCGGGATGTTTTAGAGGACCTGTCTTGGGCCCCAACAATTTGCACAAGGAATCATATCATTAAAATCTGTGTAAACATATCTATGAGCTCTTAACAAAATAAAATTCTAAGGAATAAGAAAGCATTATGTCATTGGAAATTTTTAATTCTTATTAGTTCATAAAAAATGCTGCATCTTAGAATTGATACATGTATTAGATGTGATGAGTATGGTTTCACTGTTCCTATCTGGAGTACAGAGGCTCCGTGGCTTTTTGTTGTTGTTAATCCCCACCCAAGGCTATATTTTCCATTGTGTGTGTGTGTGTGTGTGTGTGTGTGTGTTATTTAAGAGAGTGTGGAGGTGGGGAGAGAGACAGATTGATGTGAGAGACACACATGGTTTTGGTTGCCCCCCACACGGGACCTGAACCTACTACACGCCTTTGACTGGGAATTGAAACCGAGACCCTTTGGTGGGCGGGCTGATGCTCTAAGCACTGAGAACACCAGCCAGGGCTAGGCTCCATGGCTTTGTTTAACCCTATAAGATCCATGTTAGGTTGTTGGGTTAAAATTTTAGGTAACAAGTAGAAAACATGCCTCTTTTCAGAGCTCTGTTCCCTTCCATCTTTGCCTCCAAATGGATACCTCCTGCCTGAGCTCATCGCCTTCATAAGACTGTGCTAAAAGCAGCAAGACGCAGTCAACAGACATCAGTACCTGAGTCTTTTTCTACCCTTTCTCCTTGGCTGGATTACAGTCACCTTCCAAGGTATCACAGAGGATGGTGTTTTTAGATGTTTTGCATAGCATAACAAGGAACACAGCACTGCCGCCTATAACATCTGACTTCCCTTTGCCTGTTTCCAAACATTTCCATGGAACTAATGCCACATGGCTATGCTGAGGTGAAACAGAAGTAGAAAGAGGGGTTTTATACTGAGTGGTTTATTTGTCCAGCTAACATTTGTATTATCATGGTAAAAAGAGAAAATGTTCAACTATAACGAGTTAATTTTTTAAGAGAGAGAGAGAGAGAGAAAATGGACATTGGGAGACAGTTCACTGTCTCTAATGCAAATGGTAATTGGAGTTGAGATCACCTGTGGAGGGGAAGAGGCCAGAGACAAGCCCCCACAGCAACAATACTTAAGGAATACCCAATCATAAAAGCCAAGGAAGGAGGGCTTTCAAAAATGAGGGGGCCTTTGATACTGTTACATATGCTTTAGCAGTGACATAAAATGAATCCGGAAAAGAAAGCTTTAGACTTAACAATCGAATGGTTGTTGGTGGCTTTGGAATACGTGATTTCATGAGCACAGTGATGAGGAAGTAAAGATGACAACTGTAAATAGTCCTTGGAAAGGGTGATGGAGCTGCATGGGGTTATTTATGGATTTGACAATGGAAAAGTCTAAGTAGTCTAAATGTGGGCAGTGAGGGATCCATGAAGCCAACTGGCTGTAATGAAGAGGGAGAGGTTAAATGCCTGAGGCAGGTCTTGAGGGACTGGAAGGGTTGCGTAGATGGGAGGAGGGACATGCATCTGACTAGGAGGCTTTATCAGCATGTTTAAGAAATGTGTGGAATTGATGTGGGCAGAGTTGAGCTGGAATCAAGGCTCCTCCACTTTCTAACTATGTAATCTTCACTAAGTCGCTCACTCTCTCCAATGATTAGGGCTATTTCTCTTATTGAACACCTTCTGTGGGACAGGCACTAACCAGTGAAATCGTTTTCCAGAGGAGAATGCTGAGGCTGTGTAGCCAAGTGGAGAGAACATGCGTGTTAAAATAAATGAGACCAGGGCCCAAATCTAGGCAGGAAATTGGGAAAATCCTCACATAATTTGCAATATTTGTTTAGCAGGAGACAGCATACAGCTGAAGCTAAGGGAAAAGGTGGGGGAAATCCATAGGAAAACCATCTAACAAAAGGAAGTTCATAAAGCCAAATATGTGTCTTCTCTCGACAATCCTTTCAGAGATGAGATGGGGTTGACAGATTTTACTTTATATTAGGCAGGACTCTTGCAGACTCAAGTATAGAAAACCCACTTCAAACCTCCTTAAATAAAAAAATTCCTCAGTGTGGATACACAGGTACAGTGTGGATTCAAAGCATCAGAGTGCCTCTTGCCCTCCTCCTCCTCCTCTCTTTTCCTCCCCATATTTCAGTTCTGCTGTCCTTAGTGTTGGCTTCACAAGGCTGACTCTTTCCTCAAAATGACAGAGATAGCAGAGTAGCCGCCGACTTCAGTAGTCCTAGATGGGCAAAACCTTAGGAATGAGACCTCCCTTGTCGTTCAAGAAAAACACCAGATTGACTCTGATTGGGCATGTTTGAGCCATGTTTACACTTCTGGAAACATGTGAGGAGACGTGGTACACACACACACACACACACACACACTCTCATGGACTGAGTTAGGAAAGGTTCCCCAAAGTATGCAGCAGATCCTTTCACCCAAAGAAGGGATGCTGGGCAGGTAAAAACACCACACACTCACTGTCTATTTCCATGTTCTGCAGACTGTGAATATATTTTCTTATATTGTTGTATAGTTACAAATTTCTAACAGGTTTTTTCATTTTTGCAAATTCATTACTGGGATTTAATTAACACATTCAGTCTATGAAATATGGTATTTTCTCAAACTTGATTACTTTTCACATTTCTCTCTATTCTTATTTCCTGATTGTTTCCTTTTTGAGTCAGGTAATGTACTTACATGTTTCCACCCTCTCTGGGAGATTAGGGGGAGAAAAAAGATTCACCTTTATGTGAATTTATTGGACATGTATCTTGAGAGTCAAGTTGATCTTAAAAGCAATAAAAGTGTTCTGGATCCAGCATTAGCCGGAAGAAGACAGCTACCTTCTCTCTACCGGTTTTCTCTTTTAATCTCCTAGATCTTTTAGCATTTTCTTTAAGTGGTTGTATTAGTCAAGTTTCAATGCTCAAAATAGAGACTGCTCTAGATATTATTGGCATGAAGGGATTTAATTTAGGGGATTACAAGTATTCAAAATAGACTGAAATGTGCTCTTAACTTCTAGAATAATGACCCACCCAGGGAGCTCTGCGGCAGTCACTGGAAATTGAGGTGAAGGAAAATACTTGTTAGCTGCAATCCAAAGGAATCAAGAGACCACCACCAGTTAACTCTTCTCTTATCAGAAGACACTCACACTATACATAAAAGACGTAAAAAATAATGACAAAAACATAAATGTGGAGGGTGTAAGTTAAAAATAACAGCGATTTTAGGATGTGTTCAAACTTAAGCAACCATCAACTTAAAATAGACTTCAACAAACATAGCTTGGTATACATGAAGCACACGGTAACCGCACACCAAAAATCTACAAGAGACATACAAGAAATAAAGAGAACAGATTACAAACCTAACAGTATAGAAAATCATCAACATATAAGAGAAGAGAACAGGAGAAGAAAGGAACAGAGACGAACTACAAAAACAATAAATATATATCAATGATTATTTTAAATGTAAATGGATTAAATGCTCTAATCAAAAGACAAATGGATAAGGATGTGATATATACATACATACAATGGAATATTGCTTGACCATAAAAAAGAAAGAAATCTTACCATTTATGACAACATGGATGAACCTAGAGAGTATTATGCTAAGTGAAATAAGTCAGATAGAAAAAGACAAATACCATATGATTTCACTTATATGTGGAATGTAAAAAAAAATAAATGAACAAACAAAACAAAAACAAACTCAGATACAGAGAATAAGCTGATGATTGCCAGATAGGAGGGGGTGGGATGAAAAAGATGAAGGGATTAAGAAATATAAATTGGCAGTTACAAAATAGTCACAGACATAGTTCAGAGAATATAATCCATAATATTATAATAACTATGTATGGAGTCAGGTGGGTGCAAGACTTATTGGGCCAGGGAGAAGCCTGCAACTGATATACACATGCCCTTGACCAGAATCGAACCTGGAGCCCTTCAGTCCACAGGCCAATGATCTATCCACTGAGCCAAACCAGGTAGGGCTGGGAGGAGTATCTGGATTGCTTGTGGTGGGAACTGGCAAAGAAAAACTGGATAGTTGATGCCTGAGAAATGTCAGATTGCAAACACTGCACTCTTAAAGGAAGCCTGAACCTTATCTCAATCTTTTTGTTTTGTTGCTGATTTAGAAAAGTGACTATGACCAACCAACATCTGTGAGTCACTTACTGGAACTGGCATATTGTTCCCCATTCTGTTGTTCACTATAATGGGGTTTTTGTTTCCAGCAGGGCAGGTATCTTGAAAGCATGGCCCACAACAGTAGTCTAAGACTATCCTGGCAAGACAGTGCAAGCTATATGCTCAGCTATAACAAAGACTAAAATGTGCCCTGGTTGCTCTTTATTATGTTTGAGGATGTTAGGGGATTGGAAGTTCTAGAGAAAGGAGAAGATGGTATCTTTTGGCTGGAAACCTAGGTTACAATCCTAGTTATCCCTATACCACTTTACAGATGAGGAAGTTAACCAATGAAGGGTTAGTAAACTTGCCTAAGGTCACCCAAGTTGAAAGTGGCAGAGCAGGGACTTGAACAAAGACTGACTCCAAAGATCCTTGCTGCCTAAAATGTAATCCATGGACCAGCAACATCACAGCACCTGGAGCTTGGTGGAAATGTAGACTCTCAGGCTGTATCCCAGACTTCCTGAATCAAAACCTGCATCTTAACGAGACCCCAGGTGATTCATAGGCATGTTAAAGTGTGAGGAGGACTGCTCTCAACCACTCTGTTGACTCTGACTTGCTAACCAGCGGTGGCTTCCTTGGTTAGGTAAATGCCCTAGAACTGCAGCTCCAGCAGCAATTTGAGGACACCTGGAATCAGACAGCTCACCAATCTTAGGGGAAATGCTTCTTTTTTTTTTTTGCCTTTAACAAAAAAAGGGAGTGTTGTTGAAGAGAAGGGAGGTTTTGTACTCTGCTCTTCCAATGACAACTTTGGTCTAACACACATGATGTAACTCAAGCACAAGATGGGCTCTGTGAGCAGCATTCCCTCTTCTGCACAGCAGTCAAGATATAAGTGACGAAACTGCAGGCTGCCCTCCCACTGAAGGAAACAGGAGACATTATCGTGTGTGTAAAGAACTAAGAAAGGGTTCAAAAAAAGAATCTGCTTTATATACTTACATTTCTTTTCCTTTTTAATCAAGAATCAGTACATAGCAACCTCAAGATGCCTATACACTGATTCTGTGTGCTCCGACCCCAACCCAAACCTGCAGATGGTCCCTGTAGTAAGTACTGCGATGGAGTTTAAACACAGAAAAGAGGTCAGTCTTGTACAAAATGACCTATATTGATAAGAAGTTTAAATTTAAGAGTTAGGATCTCTTTTTTGTTTGTTTAGTTAGTTAAGGGCAGTTAGTCTTGCAGATTGTAGCTCTCACACCCTCTGATAAGTCATGATAGACTTTGAAGAGTGAGGAGACAGACAGAAGGTTCCAGTGACAACTTAAACTGTGCTTCCCCATCTGTGAAATGAGGAAGTAAAACCAGACTCTAAAAATAGCTAACATTGAGCCTGGCCGGTGTGGCTTGGTGGTTGAGCATCAACCTATGAACCAGGAGGTCACGGTTCAATTCCCGGTCAGAGCACATGTTTGGGTTGAGGGCATGCAGGAGGCAGCCGATCATGGATATTTCTATCTCACTCCCTCTCCCTTCCGCTCTAAAATCAGTAAAAATGTATTTTTAAAAAATAGCTAACATTTAATGAACACTTCCAGATCTCATTTACTCCTTACAAGGACCTATGAGATGGGTACTATTATTAATCCTATGTTATAGAGGAAACGGGGGTATGATGTGTCAGTCACTCACCAGGATTATATTCTAAGAGGGGAAGCTAATTTATATCCAGGTAGCATGATTTGAGCCTTATGGCAAATATACCTCTACCATCTCAGCTCCTTACTAGTGTAGAGGCACCGCAAGTAGAAATGGGTCGCTCCCACACAGTGGGCAGAGCCCTTTTGATAAATATTCAGGCCATCTGACACCGCTGAAGCAGTTCTCAAACTTGGCTGTACTTTAAGAGACACCTGGGGAGCCTTAAACAGCACTGATACCTGGGTCCCACCCTCAGAGGTTCTGATAGTCAGACATGTAGTCTGGGCACTGGGATTTTAAAAAATGTTCTTGAGGTGTTCAAGTGTGCAGCCCAGGTTCAGAATGACTACTCCAATTTTTCTGGGATTGGTGTTGGTTCCAAAGTTCCACCCACGTAAGATCAGGTACTGACCTTATCTGTCAACAATGGACATCATAGTACACGATTTTGAATTCTGCTACTTACACAAATTGCATCCATCATCATGTCAGTATCATCTGTTGTTTTAAATGAGCTTCCTCTAAAAACAGTGGTTCTCAACCTTGGCTGCACATTAGAATCACCTGGGAATCTTTTTAAAATCCTGATTCCTGGACCTCAGCCTCCAAAAATTCTGTTTCTTTGTTACTAATGTTGTGGTCCCACCCCATAACAAAGAAATAGACTTTCCGGAGGATGAGGCCCAGGAATCAGGATTTTAAAAAGATTCCCAGGTGATTCTAATGTGCAGCCAAGGTTGAGAACCACTGCTCTAAAAGGTCAGAGCCAGTGTCTTTTCTGTATGTGTATCCCCAGAGCCGAATAACATCCTTGGACATTGGAGGGAAAATGATTGAACCATGTCTGTCTCCATCTCACAATGACAGGATCTTCACAGAAAACTCAAATCTGCTGGTTATTGAGGAATTAAATATGTATCTGCTGGTCCATGAGAAAATGAAAGCAGCACTCCCTGTCCCTGGAATTTCAGATTTTCTGTGGATGTTCCAGAACAGTGTGCGAGAAGTTTTATCCGACCTCCAACAGGTCTGTCTCTGCCCATTTCAGTGACCCTGGCACAGGCAGCCTGACTGAGGAATGGCTCCAGGGCAAAGGCGAAGAGAAGACTGAGGCATTTAAAACTTGCTGACTGCTGCAAAAATTGCACTCGACTCCTTCACTCCAGTGTAATCAACCATTACCTGGTTAGCTTGCCCTTTGTGGGCACCTGCCCACCCCTGCACTGTGCTGGAACAGTTTTCTTACTCAGATTAGTGTTTACAATTCACTTATCCTTCGTCAGAGGATGTAATCTTGAATTCCCTTTATAACTTTCCTCCTAGATGGGTCTGTTGGCAACACCTCTGGCTCCAGCCACTAGTACACACTACTCCCACATATCCTAACAGCTGGATAGGATGTCTTTCTGAGTTAACAAAACCTGTTTTTTGAGGAACAAGAAATACTCACTTGCCATTTAACCATCACTAACTCCCAGAACAGACGCCTACTAGCTTCTTTGCAATAGCCACTCCTTTGAAATCATTCTCAAGTTCACTTTCTTCATCTCATTGAACCTTGCCTTCCCCTCAGTTGGACCCTCTCCTTTGATTCGAGGAACTGCCTTTAATCATTTACTTTACGCTACAAGCTGATCAAATAACTTTTCCACACTCAGTTTTCTCAGCCCTGAGGACGTCCGTATGTGGACCCCAGCCACCTACAGCATTTCTTTCTTTCCCTCCTTTAAAACAAAACAACCTAACAACCCTTGTCTGTCTTCCCACGTTGTCTTTTTGTGGGTTGTGTACTAGAGATCAGTTTCTCGTTAAGATGTTTTTATTTAGGATAGAATGTTCAATCTTATGCTTACTTCCCAAGTCTGGACAATTAAAAGCATTCCCCACCTGCATCTACCCTACATTCTAGAATATTCTCAACCACAAGGACACAACATAAGCCATGACTGTGCATGACTCATATATAAGATAATAGCAAGTGCTCTGCAACCAACAAAGTGTCAATGTTTGCAAATGGACCCAAGGATAGTCCTATACTAGTCACACCATTACCACGGGTAGGCATTCCTATATGCTCCCATCCAAGAGGGAGAGAAAGAGGTGGAGTCACAGGAGCCATATAGAGCACTGCCATGACCTCCAGCTCGGGTCATTTATGGCAGAGCCCTAGCCAGACCACAGCTGCGGACATCTTTAATGGTTATGGTGATTACACATTACAGAGATTTAACCTGGATAGATCCATGGGAGTGTGGCTAAAAAAAGGTTCACAGCCTCTGGCCCTTCATTAAAAAGTACAAATCACACATTTCCTTGGGTGGTAACACCTGTTTGACCTTCAAAGAATTAAGAAGGCTAAAATTTTCTGTATAATACTAAGTATAATGGAAAATACTGGACAGATAACACATTTTAGATTGGAAATTTATTCAGGATAGGTAGGGCATGCTGTATTGTCTGGGCACTATTACATGCTTTTTTTAAAAATGATTTTTTAATTGTGTAAATCAGCATTGTTTGAGGACTCTTTTGTTAAAAAATTTTTAGAGAGAGGAAGGGAGAAGGAGAGAAACATGGATGTGAGAGCATCCATGTACACCCCCTACCAGGGACTGAGCCCACAACCCACGCATGGATCAGACCCACCACCTGGGCACGTGCCCTGACTGGGAACCAAACTGGCAACCTTTCAGTGCACAGGATGATGCCCAACCAACTGGGCCACACCGGCCACTGGCCAGGGCTATATGCTTTTTTTTTTCCATTCATTAAATTGTGATAACCCAGCTAGAGAAGTTTCATAAAACCACTTCAATCTAAACAAAATCCTTCGGTTAAGTTATTTTTCCTGACCATTCAACTCTGCTAAATCAGTCCTTGGTGGTCAATTTAATGACACATGTCACAGCTGGACTGCTCTCACATCCAAAAGGTGTTCTAAGAAAGCAACTTAGCCATAAGAACTCTGATTCTTCATGCCATGGCATCATTGCTAAATAATACCTTTTCCTTCACAGGCATAATCTTTGAAGCAGATGAATCAATGCAAGACATTTCCCAATGTGTAGATGTCTTGAATAAACCATCTTTAAGATCATTTTCTTTTGAGTATCAACTGAACAGTAAAGCCAAGCAGGGGGACAACCTTCAATCGCATTTGTGTGGGCACACTCATAGCTTCTGCTGATCTGAGATTATATGGGGCACTCAGAATAAATAAAAACATCGAAAACTTTAGTTTGGCTTAATGAAATAAAAAAAGCAATTCAGGTTACTTATAATTTTAGAGTTTGTTTCACATATACAATGCTGTGTTACTAAGTAATGAACACTTTCATAAAAAAATTTATTTCATACTTTTGTACAAATATCCACAGGTATTTTCTAACCATGAAATAATTTTACAATGCTATTTAGTATAAAATGTATCAAATGAGAATAGACCAGTGACTTGACTTGAGATGACATTTTTCGTAACTACAAACGTAAAGACCACCACATTCTTGTTTCTTTGTTGTTGAGCCACCCTTGCACCCACCTCCCCACCCCTTCCCAAGGACATTCGTCTTTATAACAAGGGCCGATAAACACGTTCAAAATATCAGCTTCTTAGCAACCTATGAAGCCAGTACATTGGGTTCCAAGTTACCTAAGCAAGAAACTGAGACTTTAAACACTGTTATGACCTGATCTCAAGAAATTCTTGTAAACAAAATATCATTTGGAAAACAGTATTTGTGAATGAAATTTCTAAAGTACAACTAGAGTAATGTTCTTAGTATCTTAAGGGTATAAGATTTCCGAAAAGGAAAGAAAATTAAAACTCCAAAGCAACAATGGTACATAGCTGTATTTTGTTTTCAAAAGAATGAGACACAGCTTACATTACATCCAAACAAATTAGCACCTGGTTTGCTCTTGCTCCCCATATAACTTAACATCTTGAAGCACAATCATTTTTTAAAATCCGGCTTTCATATCTATTCAGTCTCTATTGAATGTATAGAAGAATAATGTCTTCCTCCCCTCCTCCACTTTTACACTTAAAAAACAAGTTAAAGTCCTTGTTAGAGTAGTCCTAAAATAATTTGGGGAATATACATAGGGGAGGAAACACAGCAAAAAAATAGAACTCTGACTCACATGACGTGATTCCAATAATATTTAAAACATAAAAGTCATGATGTTCTAATCTGACTTTTGGTATCGGGTATTCAGTAGTCTTCCACTGGATCGGATTGGATCCACCATAGGCACTCACCATTTCTTTCAAGTCCTGTATAATACAGCAGTGAAAGGTCAAGAAATAAACCCCCTTTTTTTCCCAAGAGTTCCTGAAAGTTATAACATAAAATTCAGAATTGTCACACAGGGCTCCAAACTCAAAAATATCCATTGTCTGTCCAGAATTAAAACTTCGAACGGTTAATCCTATTTCTTAAACAAACCTTTTGGGTTTGGAGGGAGGGGGTCAAGGTAAGGGATGTCATGAAGGAAGATGTTTTAATAACTTATCTGTAAATTATAACAACTCTGGTACATTTATAAAGCATTATTTTCTTTTTGCAGTAAATACTTTAGATCAAACCAATGACCTCCCATGTTCTAATTCTGATTGCTTACTCCAACCTGCAGGACAAACTGGAGAATCTTTGGCCTGTTAGTCAATAACAAAATGGTTTGTTAAAAAGAAAAAATAAATACCATATACAAATAAGGATAACTAGCATTCAAGTCAGTTGCGCCTGTGTGTTTTAGTGAAAAGGGAGAAGGAAACCTGGATGTCTTTGGTGTGAACAGGTATTCACACATCTGGGAAATGGAAAAAGATGGCAGGATGGCAACATCACCTTCTATTGCACATTTAATTTAGATAGCACTTTAAATGGAAACACAGCTACCCCTACGGCATTGTCTTGTGATGGGGGACAGTTAACTTGCAGGTTCTCCAGTCCTATTGGGAAGAATGCTTGCAGAGGCAGCACCGACAGTCACTCTGCTGACACGGTGGCCACGGGCGCCTTCTTCCAGTTACACTAGCGGGAGGATGTCAGATGAGTGCAACTGGGCGGGGCCTTCCCCCGCACGTGTGAGTCAGCCACACCAAAAACAAAGGCAACCCGGAAAGTTAAATTAAGGCAGTTAAAGAAAAATCCATTCCAACAGTCTTACATTTGGCTGTGCAGAACAGCAGCCGTAGGCTACGTAACAATGTCCACAGCAGTTAAAACTGTCGGTTCGTACTATGGTGCAGTCTGTCTGAACTCAATAGTCAGGGATCAGGCTTTGAAACCATTTGGATTTCTGAGCTGGGGAATACAAAAGCAGTTGGGGGCTGTGACGCTCCTCTGGCCCCTAGGAGTAGCTTTCATTTTCATTCCACCTTGTGATCCACTGCTTTTTCTCCAGGTGGTCGTTGTATTTTTCATCTCTGATCTCTCGCTCTTCTTTCGGGATCTTTACAGCTTGGTATCGGGGAATGCTTTCATCGTACCTAGAGCGTTTGAAGAATCCACACTGGAGAAGAGGGAGAGATAAACAGAAGCACGTTTAGTAATCCCAAGGAAAGCAAGCGCACGAGCCGGGAATATCTAAGCTTTCTGTTCAGAGCGGCCTACCTCTGGACCAAGGAAAAAAGACACGGTTTTCTTTTCAGAAGAAACTAATCGGCTGAAGATGTTAACAGCCAGTGGGGACAAGTGGAAGAGAAAAATAGTTGTAAAGCTGCTAGGAAAGTCTCTTTTTCCATATTGTTTTTACATTTGGAAACAATGTGAGCTCTCTCCTTACTGAAATTTAAGTTTATGCAACAGTGCTGCCATTTTTTATAATCCCAATACTATCTGTAAAAGAGCTAACTTTTAGATTAGAAGAAGATCATTTTGAACAGTTTTTTTAGAGGCCATACACCAAAGGTTATCTCATACCCCTCTTCCACTAACGAAATGAAACTCAGGTCACAGACATTTCACAAGTTACAGTTTGGACATGTCAGTGTTTGAATGGGTCAGTTTAAGAGTCTGCTCTCCCCGAGGCTGCGGGACACATCCCCAGCTGGAAGGAGAATCACGCGGCCCGGGCTTGGCACCGTGCTTCCCAATAAGCGGTTTCAGTAGTAAATCGGGGAGTAACTCTGTCCTGCAATAAAATCAATCAGGCACCACCAGACTGAATTTCAGAGCGCTGCCTAATTGCTCTTTTTTAATGAATGTATATTTTATTCATTTAAAAAATATTCAATATGATTCCAAGTAGGTTTTTCTTGAGAACATATCTAGATATTTAAAAATCAAATTGAATATTTTAAATGAGTGAACTATATGTGCCTTTTTTTTTTTAAACAAAAGGATGTTTTCAATTTAAAAATGCAGTTAATAGGATGAGGAAGATACTTGGAATGGTTGATTGATTTGTTTATTACATGAATCCAACAGGAACAGAATGTTAATATTGAATTAATTTGTGTTATCAGAATGTCATGGGGCAAAGTAAAATTACATATACAGTTATCACTGAATACACAGGAATAATGGACCAAGAAGTTTTGTTCTAAGGCCATTTCAACATGGACTCCTTTATTCTGTGCAAAAAAAGCCAAAAGATCTACCTATTACAAAATGTGCTCTTGCCCCATTTAAACAAAGAAGGAAAGCAAGGGTGATATGCAACAATTATGGGAGATCCTGGGATTCACTGTGACAGTGCCATGGAAAGGAACTGTTGGAGTAATTCTATCCTCTCATGCCCACAGGAATGGAAAAAGGAATCATCGCCAATTCCTGTTTCCATGGGTTTACAAATAAGAGAAACAAAACATGAACTTAAAATAAACTGAATTCCAAGGTGGAATCGAATCTCAAGAATATGAAACAAGGTCAAAGTCCATTGAAATAAAAACTGTCCAGAGCATTTTATACTAAAATTTGGATATTGAAGGTAACACTTTGGTAAAGAGCTGCCTTCTGAGATTGGCCGTAATGTCCATCATGCCAATAGTCACAGTTTGCTGCAATGGTCTTTGGCCTGAGGTAGATATGCAGGAAAGGAAGGTGCATGCTTAGCTAGCATAGAACAATTTCTGAGCAACAATAAAAGCATTCCAAACCTCCCCCCATCTTTATAGCAAGGAGATGCAAAAGATGACAGTGAGAAAGTCCTCTCACCCAGAGAAACACCACGTTTCCAACATGCAAAAGGTTAATTAGCCACAACACAAGCGTCCGTTGGTAGGAAATTCCAAAATGGACAAGAAATCAGGGATGATTTCTCATGCACCTTCGAAATTCCATGGGATGCTGCATACTAAATGAACACTATGTGGCCAACTGGGCTACAAAGTCTCCTTCTGTGTGTATATAGATTTCAGTTTCTTCATTGCTATGGGTGATGTTTAACCACAACACAAAACAACTCACCTGCAACAAAGGACTCTGTGCATTTAAAACAAAACAAAATAGCTTTCAAGTGACATAAATAAAACCATTCCAAGCAGGGCAAGCCAGTGTGGACATTTGGAAACATCTGTTAATGGGACACACATAGCAAGCTGTTGCTCTGAAAGTTAGCCACCACAACCATAGCAGGTCCCACAGCTAGCAATTAAAAAACATTGATCAATTACCAATTACAGAAGTAGATCACTACTATGCATCAGAAGTAAGCCTTTCTTTATCAGATGGCTGAGCATGGATCTCAGCCTTGTGATATGTGGCATCATAATGATCTTTCTTATTTCTCTTGAAGAAACCACACTACAAGGAAGCAAGGTATTTGGTCAGTTTCGCAGTTCTGTGAAGAACTAGACAAAAGAAAATCTCAGATTTTAACCTGTTTTCTATTCATAGTTCGTTTACAAAGAGACCACACTAATGGATCAACCAAACGTGAACAGCCACTGCACTGTGCTACTTTCAGACAGCAATCAACCCAACTCTATTACCATGGGTCTCTGGTCAAACATTTATATGGATGACATTAGTCAGCTAATTGATTTTTCTATTTGTAACAGAAATCACGAAGACAAAAATCATCCTAAAAGGGAAAATACATGCACATCTGATTTTAGGTTTGGGTGGTTTTTTTCTTACAGAAAAATATGGACCTTAAAATAGGTAGATAGCACAAATCCAAATAAAACAGAGAGATACTGTATTTTTCTGCTTTTCAAGTAAAAATGCCATCTATTTGAGGTCTCTGAATTTGTGGGGTGAATCAATATAAATAAATAATCATGAAAGAATGATTACAGACAGTTTCCCGAATTCTGGGCCACCATGTAAGATTAGGTACTCTAAATGACTATTAAAATATAATTCCACTTTCTACTATAATTTCCTCCATTCAACAATGAGGATTTTCTCGAATTCCTTTAATCTAGTTCATAAGGCCATGGATCTGCCCTCCAAAATATAACTTGGTCGAATAAATCTCTGCCCTTCTGAAAAATTCTGTTTCTAAGTCTGGCAACTCATGAAGGTAAAACTCCAGATCTGCTTTGTACAATATGGTAGCTACCAACTGACTACCCGTTGTTATTCAGATTTAAATTAAATTAAAAAGTCAATACCTCGGTTGCACTAGCCATATTCCAAGAGCTCAACAGCGACATGTGACTAGTGGCTGCCATATTGGATAGTACAGCCTCAGAACAATTCCACTATGACAGAAAGTTTTACTGGGCAGTGTTGATTTGGACAATGTATCTTGATATTTATTTGTGACTAAATACCTCAGTGAACACTCGTAATAAACTTAGGGAACCAAGAGCCCCAGTCCTGTCTCCAACTTGGCAACCTATGTAATATCCATGGGCATGAGCATCTTAATTTGCAAAATGAAGGCGATTGGAACAGCCCAGAGGACTTTCCTCTCTTACCTCCAAAAAAAATCCTATGTAGAACCCCAATATTTAAAGCAGATACAATTCAGGGGGATGTTGGTCTTAGCCTCACCTACTTAGTTGTGGCACCTTTGTGGATGTGCAAAATCCAACTTAAAGGACACTGAACTAAAGTCCTTTCTGGCCCTAAAATTCTATGACTCTAAACTTATAAAAACGAACAGTTCAGTTTCACAAAGAAGAGTATCTGTAAAATTATAAAAATGATTTTCATGCAAGGGCTGGAGATATTTAGAGTTTACTTGTAAGTTGGAATACTTTAGAACTTACAAAAAAAAAAATAACCAATGAGATCATCTAATCTAACCCAATTATTAATAGCTAAGGCAACCCAGTATCCCAAGAAGGTGAAATGATTTGCCCAGGATTATAAAACTTGGATTTCTCAACTCTCAACCCACTGCTCAATGGTTGAGTGTCAACTTATGAACCAGGAGGTTATGGTTTGATTCCCGGTCAGAGCATATGCCCAGGGATGCAGGCTCAATCCCCAGTGTGGGGCATATAGGAGGAAGCTAATCAATGATTCTCGCGCATTGATGTTTCTATCTCTCTCCCTCTTCCTCTCTAAAATCAATGAAAATATTTTTTTAAAATAAACAAGATTATTTTTCTGTAATGATATAAAATGCTTAGATAAAAGAAGGAATTGGCAATATTTCAAACCCATCTATCTCTA